TTGGGAGGCCGAGGCGGGTGGATCACGAGGTCAAGAGATCGAGACCATCCTGGTCAACATGGTGAAACCCCGTCTCTACTAAAAATACAAAAAATTAGCTGGGCACGGTGGTGCGTGCCTGTAATCCCAGCTACTCAGGAGGCTGAGGCAGGAGAATTCCCTGAACCCAGGAGGCGGAGGTTGTGGTGAGCCGAGATTGTGCCATTGCACTCCAGCCTGGGTGACAAGAGCGAAACTCCATGTCAAAAAAAAAAAAAATTCAGTTTTAGCCCACTTAGGAGAAAAGCTGAGATGATTTCTTAAAATTAAGGTTATTATATCTATGTATCTTTCTGTGTGTTCTTTTAAAGTAATTGTGACACTGAGTTACAGGGCTTTGATGCCTGGGTCTAAAAAGGACAACAAATCCTGTTAAATTTTAAACACTGACAGCAATTAAAGCCTCATCTTCAGGTCCAGTAGAAGATGCCAATAAAAATAAACTGCATTCCTGAAATACAGGGCCAGAAATTAAAACTATTTAACTCTTCAGGGCTGAGGAAATACTGCAAAAGCAGTGGGCATGTGAGATTGTGTGGGCCAATTTTGAGAAATAAAAATAAGTTTAGTTTATTTATAAATTAATCATTAATGCCAAAAGCACACTTAGGCAAGATCAGGATATGGACCCCTATATCAGATTAACAGTTTTCATGAAGCATTAACTAACTCCTTAATAAAGGTTATAAAGTTTATAAAAGGCTCATGAGAGTTATATTGTAACTGCCCAATGGGTTCACCTTGCCCACTGCCTAGAGAGAGCAAACTTATCAAGACGGCAATTACAACAGAGAAAGAATTGCAACAGAGAAGTAATTCATACAGACCCAGCTGTGTGGGAGAATGAAGTTTTATCATTACTTAAGTCAGTCTCCCCAAGCATTTGGGGAGCAGAGTTTTTAAGGATAATTTGCTGGATGAGTTGAGAGGCCTTTAAGTTGAGAGGGCTAATTGGTTGGGTTGGAAATAAAATCGTTGAAAGCTGAAGCTGTCTTCTTGTGCTGAGTCACTTCCTGGGTTGGGTCCACAAGATCACATTAGACAGTTTATCAATCTATGCAGTGCCAACTGATCCATCAAGTGCAGGGTCTGCAAAATATCTCGAGCACTGATCTTAGGAGGAATTTAGGGAGGGAAAGAGTCTTGGAGCATTCAGCTATATGACTCATACACCATAGTTTTTAATATTGTGGCTAATTTGTTAGTCTCACAAAGGCAGTCTAGTCCCCAGTCAAAAAGGAGGTTCGTTTTGGGAAAAGACTGTTACCATCTTTGTTTTTAAGTATAAGTTGTAAACTAAGTTCTTACCAAAGTTAGCTCAGCCCATGCCGAGGAAGGAAGAAGGACAGCTTAAAGGTTAGCAACAAGATGGAGTTAGTTAGGTTTGATCATTTTCACTGTCTCAGTAATAATTTTACAAAGGTAGTTTCAATATCTTATGGCCAAGGTTAAAATTTTATAGATTGTTTATAAAATTTTAAAGACATTCAATTGGCTTCGTACTGTCTTTATTGGGGCTTATTTTATTTGGAGTAACTGAGAACTTAGCTGTGCTTTCATAAAGCCCTATAAACTAATGCTAGATACCTTAAACTTCAGAAGAAAATGACAGCAACCTATTTATATACATAAGCCACTTTTATACATGCATACTGATGTATGAACTTCAGAATTATGTGGCCTATATCCGTTTTCCAGGATTGTTTTTTCATTTTTATTTTTGTTGTTGTCGTTTTTCTCCCTTTCTTCCCTATATTCTCTTCATAGGATGTGAGACTTACACAACCTGCTAAAAATGAGCTTTCCTAATAACTCTGGATATATTTATCTAGGAATGAAGCTACTTAGTCATGAGAGATTAGACGAAGCCTGAGACTAGAGACTCATTTTTTACTAAAATGCTTTCTCCAAAATGTTTTAAAAAAGAAAAGGAGAAAAACATGAAAGGAAAATTAATATTGGGGCCCCTAAATCACTAAGCTAGAGGGCAAAGTCAGTCTGGGAACTGCTTAACATAAACCTGCATCCCATTCTCTTCAAACTCACCCCTCTGCTCACTGAGATAAATGCATATCTGTTGGCTTTCTTTGGACAGGCTAATAATACACTCCAAAGAATGCAACTATTTGTCTTTTATCTACTTATCACCTGGAAGTCCCCTCCCCGCTTTGAGTCTTTCCACCTTTACTTTGAGTTGTTCAGCCTTTCCAGACTGAAACAATGTTAATCTTACATATGTTGATTGATGTACATTTGAGGATGACATGAGACAAGACAAAACTGTGCTCTGACCACCTTGGACACATGTCATCAGGATCGCCTGAGGCTGTGTCACAGGGATGTATCTTCAACCTTTTCAAAATAAACTTTCTTTTATTTTTTTGAGACGGAGTTTCGCTGTTGTTACCCAGACTGGAGTGCAATGGCATGATCTCAGTTCACCGCAACCTCCGCCTTCTGGGTTCAAGCAATTCTCCTGCCTCAGCCTCCCAAGTAGCTGGGACTACAGGCGCGCACCACCATGCCTGGCTAATTTTTGTATTTTTAGTAGAGACGGGGTTTCACCTTGTTGACCAGGATGGTCTCCATCTCTTGACCTCATGATCCACCCGCCTTGGCCTCCCAAAGTGCTGGGATTATAGGCATGAGCCACTGTGCCCAGCCTGCTCAAAATAAACTTTCTAAATTAATTGAGACCTGTATCATTTATTTGGGGTTTATACTAACTAAATGGAGGAGTTTACCCATGGTAACCAATCATCTGGATTTTTCTGGGGCTGTGGAGTTTCTTGGATGTCAGCTTTAGTTGCTAAAACTAAGAACGTGCTGGGAAAATTGGGATGGTTTGTTACCCTAGGTCTACAAGCCAGGAACTATCTTTGGTAGAAGCATGAAATGAATATGGCCAGTTCTCTGATCTCCTGCTAGCAAAACTGATTGATCAAACCAAAATGGAAACTGAGAGTAAGTGTATCCTAATACGTAAGACATACAGATCAGCCTCCATGAACAGAGAGTGGGTAGAGAATTAATTAGGAGAGGGAAAGTAATATATATTAGCACTGTATTCACCTAATATTTGTTACTGTTCAAAGAATGACTATCTAAAAGATTATCTATTTGAATTAATTTTTAAAAATCTGAATCTAACACATATTGTGTTTAATGTCTTTTACATTTTTAACCCAAAACATGCTCCCCTTCCTTGATTTTTATTTTGTTCTTCATGCTAATAACTTATTAAAAATGAAGCTCAATTATATTGTAATATATCTCATTATCTATATTTGTATGCTTCTCCATAATTTTGTTAGACTTGTTCTTCTACTCCTTTATTTTCTATAATTAAGTAATTATCTATTAAGGCTTGATTCAATCAAGGTTATACTTTATGGGCAAAAATAAATCATAGGTGATGATTTACATTTTCTATTGTATTATATCAAGAGACAAACAATGCCAGGTTTTCTTTTTTTTATTGCATTTTAGGTTTTGGGGTACATGTGCAGAACATGCAAGACAGTTGCATAGGTACACACATGGCAGTGTGTTTTGCTGCCTTTCTCCCTTCACCCACATTTGGCATTTCTCCCCAAGCTATCCCTCCCCAGCTCCACCCCCCACTGTCCCTCCCCTATTCCCCCCAATAGACCCCAGTGTGTAGTACTCCCTTCCCTGTGTCCATGTATTCTCATTTTTCCTCACCTGTCTATGAGTGAGAATATGCGGTATTTCATTTTCTGTTCTTGTGTCAGTTTGCTGAGAATGATGTTCTCCAGATTCATCCATGTCCCTACAAAGGACACAAACACATCATTTTTGATTGCTGCATAATATTCCATGGTGTATGTGTGCCACATTTTCCCAGTCCAGTCTATCATCGATGGGCATTTGGGTTGGTTCCAGGTCTTTGCTATTGCAAACAGTGCTGCAATGAACATTCATGTGCATGTGTCCTTGTAGTAGAACGATTTATAGTCCTTTGGATATACACCCAGTAATGGGATTGCTGGGTCAAATGAAATTTCTATTTCTAGGTCCTTGAAGAATTGCCACACTGTCTTCCACAACAGTTGAACTAATTTACACTCCCACCAACAGTGTAAAAGTGTTCCTTTTTCTCCACATCCTCTCCAGCATCTGTTGTCTCCAGATTTTTTAATGATCACCGGTATTTATAACTGGTATGAGATGGTATCTCAATGTGGTTTTGATTTGCATCTCTCTAATGACCAGTGATGATGAGCATTTTTACATATGATTGTTGGCCTCATGTATGTCGTCTTTTGTAAAGTGTCTGTTCATATCCTTTGCCCATTTTTGAATGGGCTTGTTTGTTTTTTTCCTGTAAATCTGTTTGAGTTCTTTGTAAATTCTGGATATCAGCCCTTTGTCAGATGGGTAAACTGCAAAAATTTTTTCCCATTCTGTTGGTTGCTGATTCACTCTAGTGACTGTTTCTTTTGCTGTGCAGAAGCTGTGGAGTTTGATTAGGTCCCATTTGTCTATTTTGGCTTTTGTTGCCAATGCTTTTGGTGTTTTGGTCATGAAGTCCTTGCCTACTCCTATGTCCTGAATGCTTTTGCCTAGATTTCCTTCTAGGGTTTTTATGGTGCCAGGTCTTATGTTTAAGTCTTTAATCCATCTGGAGTTAATTTAAGTGTAAGGTGTCGGGAAGGGGTCCAGTTTCTGCTTTCTGCACATGGCTAGCCAGTTTTCCCAACACCCTTTATTAAACAGGGAATCCTTTCCCCATTGCTTGTTTTTGTCAGGTTTGTCAAAGATGGGATGGTTGTAGATCTGTTGTGTTGCCTCCAAGGCCTCTGTTCTGTTCCATTGGTCTATATCTCTGTTTTGGTACCAGTACCATGCTGTATTGATTACTGTAGCCTTGTAGTATAGTTTGAAGTCCGGTAGTGTGATGCCTCCCGCTGCATTCTTTTTGCTTAGAATTGACTTGGCTATGTGGGCTCTCTTTTGGTTCCATCCTCAAGAGCAGTTTCTTCTAATACAGGCTCAGGCTTTTCCTCTTGGATTTCAGATACAGGTTATTTTTCTGGTTCCGGTTCAGGGTCAGGCTCTGGTTCAGCAACAGGCTCCTCTAAATGTTCTTCCATGTCATTACTGACAACTGCCTGATCATAGAAAGTTCCAGAATCATCAGGTACCACCTCAGGTGTCTGCAGTCTTTCTTCAGGTTCTTCTACTTCTTCTTCAGACTCCTCCTGAGGCTCAGTGACAAACCCACGAAAAACCTCATCTTGTATTGGAAGATATCATTGTGAACATAGAATTTATTTGCAACAGACCCCTCAGGAGCAAGGATAAACATCTGCATAAATCTCCTCAAAGCCTGGTTGTTGTTAGAAAGAAGCCCCATCACTTGGACTACCACACCATCATTTAGCATGGCATGAGCATCAACATGGCGAATTTTGGTGTGGCAGTTGGTGAAGTTTTCAGACATCACTTTCCTGTGGATTTCTTTCTGTCCATAGATAGCATCTGCTGGCTTTCCATTTGAATCCAATCCCCCATGGACATAAGAAGAGTTCTTTCCATAAAATCTATGCAGCATGTCTGGGGCCTGGTTCAGCAGTGTGTAATACTGTCTCACAAATTCCCGCCTGACCAGCAGGGGACTAGGCTTCTCCATCACCATTGGTTTGGTCAATTCAACCTGCGTGGCTAAGCTGGAGAGGAACTAGCTCTGCTCCACAGCACTGAGGATGGCAGAAAACCCTCACACAACTGCATCCGCCTGCCAGGTTTTCTTAACTTACTGACGTCAAGAGTATTCAGTGGGTTGCGATAATATCATTATAATCACTCTGTTACAATTTTTTAAATAAATTGTTCATCTATTGGTTTTATTCATTGATGAATATTAACTGAATAAACTATTTTATTAGGAATTCAAAAACATTTATTTTTTTTTAATTTCTAGCATTTCCTTTACATGTGTTACCTCTATGTCTACTGAAAGGAAGATATTTTGGTCATAAACTAGGGCTTTTTGGATAAACTAAAAGACAGTCCATACAGTTAAGTCAGGATGAATTCTTAATTTTTAAAATTGTCCATCTAGAGAATAAGATATTGGATCTCTACCTCCAATGGTAACTGACTCTATTTTTTTATTTTCATTTTTTTGAGCATTATTATAATTATGTTTGCTTTATATTATGGATCTCATTACATTAACTCTATATCTTAAGGTTCTCCAATAGAATTCCAGAGATAGTTTACATGAATTAAACAAACTTTGAAAGATATTAGTTGAAGAGATAGTGCTAGAAAAACTATAATTGTCTTTACAGATAGGATCTCTGTGACTCTTTTAGCTTCTAAGCTCTTAAACATTTTTGGGGCTGCTAAGATGGTATATTTATTTATCAGACACTGGAAGAGATGTGTTGATACTATTTCTATGATACTTTCTATTAGAAGTGTATTTCTCACATACCCAGTTACTCATTCAATTTAGGTCATTTTGTTTTTACTCTAATGCTAGCCTAATGATCAATGTGTGCCTGTAGAAAATAAATTCAATTGCCTCAGTGCCTTAAAAGGGCAAAGATAGGTACAATGTTCTTTCCTTTAAATTACAGGGCAATTTACTATTTTTATCTCCAAAAAGAGAGAAAGTTTCGAACTGGTAAATAGCAACGTATATAATGTTTAAGTCAATGAGCATTTAACTTCAATGTTGGCTACTAAGAACTGATTTTTTTTAAAAAAAACATGTTTAGAATTTTTTAAATTGTCTCAGCATCTTGAATTACATTTATAAAGGTTTACCAAATACAGTAATTGCAGTAGATGCAGGGTGAGGTTTTTCTGAGGGCTAGACAAGACAGTATCTCCTTTTTCTCTCATTTTTACTCTCCTTTAATAAAATATCCTAAGTGACTTTTTAACTCCAATGTCTATCCTCCATAAATGGAACATCATGGAAGGCCCACTTTCCAGTGTTATGAGAAGGGAAGCACGATCATAAACTGAGCCAAGAGGGTCAGGTGATCTTTAGAAGTCCTACAATCCATATTCTCATAAATGGCATCTTTTTTGAAGAAAGTCAATTAAAGAAAAGAAAAATACATATGAATTACTTAATGTATTTAATACTTAAATATTGAGAAGTCACTCTTCATTAAGCACTGTTATTTGTACTAGATATTCAGTGGTGAATATGACAGCATGCATAGTCCCTCCACTTTAATAAAAGGATACAGAAGGTTAAAAAAATAGATAAAAAATAAAATGAGACTTCTGGTGCTGACTAAAATGGGGCAGGTTACTGTAGTCTATTTTCTTAATTGATTACAACCAAAAATTATGGACAGAATACAAAAATAAAATTCCTGGAAATATCAAAATGTAAACAGTAACAGGTGATAATATTTTACTTAAGTTTTCCCCCTTGTCTCTTGGCTTTAACTAAATTGTAAATTCTATCCAAGAACATCATTTTGAGTGCAGAACCCAAAATCTCTCAGAGACACCATCTTCTTCTAGTCAGTGGACTGATATAAGTCAGAGAGTGTATAAAGAATCCATGAATTGTTTTATTTTTTTTTCTATTTATTCTCACTTGGTCTTTCCCTGAGGAAAGTCCCAGAGAAGAGGCTGCACAGGTTTAGTGGCATTAGAAAGACTATGTAGACACCTAAAATACTAAGAGAAAACCTGTGCCTTTATCTAGTGTAACCTGGGAAAAAAGGGCCCCTGTGTTCTGAAGAGTGTTGGGGAGTATCTTGAAGAAGACAGAAATAAATGTTTTCCAAATTCTGTATATGAATCAACACATGCTCAGGCTCATCCCCAAGCAATAAATATATAAAATAGAATTTAAAAAAGACAAAAACTTCAAGAATTAAACTACAATACACAATGCCACACAAAATACAAACTAACCACCAAGAAGCTCATGTGAATGATAGACCTGAAGAGTGTAGCAAAAACTTTGAAAACTGAAGCAACATTGGTTCTATTGCTCATATAAACTGTGAAGCAATGTACAGTCTGAACAGCACCAAGTTTATTGCTTACTAAAACAAACAAAAATAAAAAACTCACAATACTCTCTAGGCAATTTTAACAAGGCAAGGAATCTCACAACAAGGCCCGGAATATAATTTCACATTATACAGCATGTAAAGAGCTAAGAAAATATGCCCCATTCTCAATGGAAAAAAAAATTTTAAATATAAATTCTAAGATGACCCAGATGAAGGTATTATAAAATAAAGCATTTAAAGTAGCTACTAGGCTGAGTGTGGTGGTTCACACCTGTAATCCCACCACTTTGGGAGGCCGAGGCGGGCAGATCACCTAAGGTCAGGAGTTCCAGACCAGCTTGGCCAACATGGTGAAACCCTATCTTTACTAAAAATACAAAATTAGCTGGGCGTGGTGCCACATGCCTGTAATCCCAGCTACTCAATAGGATGGGGCGGGAGACTCACTTGAACCTGGGAGACAGAGATGGCAGTGAGCTGAGACCACATCACTGCACTCCATCCTCGATGACAGAGCAAGACTCCATCTCAAAAAAAAATAAGCAAATAAAAATAAAAGCAGCTACTATAACCATGCTCCATGAAGTAAAGGTGAACTTTCTTGTAATGAATGGAAAACACTTCTTAGCGGAGGATATAAATTGAATAAATGAAAATTTCACAGCTGAAAACAGAACTGTGACATAACTAAATCTGTGTTACTTGTCAGTGTGCTGATACAATTATTTTATGATAAATTCAATTTTCAAAATAGTGTTTTTGGAAGAACACTATATTAATTTAGCCATAAACTCAGTGAAGATAAGCAGCGAGGAGAAAAATACAAATGAAATACAATGCTGAGTTAAGAGAATTGCTGTAGATTAGACTTCAATTTGGGACAGAAACTTGCCATGGTCTTTTAGGCAATGAATAGAGATATCAAACCTGAAGTTTTGTGTAGAAGTATTGTGTTCTTGCATGACAATATAAAAGGAAGGGTTCTTGGTATATAGTGATATTTAGAGCCATTGGATTTTAGGAAATCACATAGCATGAAAATACAGATATGTTTTGGGACATTAACAAGATGGCAGAATAGATCTTTCCAGTACTTGTTTTCCCACAGAGACATCAATTTGAAAAACTACCCATCTGTAAAAATATCTTCATAACAGCCAAGGAAAACAGGTGAGAGATTATAATAACTGGGTATAGCACAGAAATAAGAAAAGACACATAGAAAATAATAGAAAGAAAAATTTTACATTATTCACCTTACTTCTCCAAAGCACTGCATTATAAAGAGAGATATTCCCCTCTTCGGGGAAGGGAAAGGAAAGGAGCATGAGACTTTGCCTTGGATCTCAACATTAGCTCCATCCCAGTAAAATACAGTGCTGAGAAAGCCCCAATGGCTCCAAGTTTCAGCCAAGTACCCATGAACTGCGGCTTCATCAGTAGGCTGGATCCCATAACTTCAGGCTCCAGGCTCGCCTGACAGACATGGTCTGTGGGCCTGCCCCACTGCCAGGCTGTACCCAGTAGTGCTGGGCCAGCCCCAGGAACAGGCCAGCACACACAGATTCTGACTCTATGCCTATCTTTAGACTACCTCCAGGACAGCCCTATTGGCCCTGGACTATGGACCACTTCCAGCACTAGGATGGCCTACATGGCCCCAGGCTTCAGACCCACCTAATTATTTAGGCCAGCTTATATAACTATAGTCATCAGGCCAGCACACATTGACGTAGCCTCCAGGCTGGCCCCTAAACATAGATTCCAGACCCATCCAGCACCAGGTCAACCCTGTGACCCCAAACTCTATCTATATACCCAACAAAGGTTTCAGACAAAATCAGAGACAGATTTCTCCACACAGCCCTGGGCTTCAGGACTGCACAAATGCCAAGTCAGTGTCTCTGGATGAATGCAACTGAATGGAACCTATGATCACAGTCTCCAAACCTGCCCAGTACCAGGCCTATCCTTGTAGCCCCATAATCCAGGCTAGCCCCTGCAGCGAATGCTAGAGCAGACCTAAGGTTGAGGCCTTGTTAAGCAGACCAAAGGTTAAAGGCCATCCTCATAGACCCCAGCACTGGGCCAGTCCTCATATACCTAGGCTCCACAATTGCCCCTGTGGAACCAGGTTTCAGGCCAACCTTTACAGAGCCAGTTTTCAGGACAGCACAACATATCCAGCTTCTGGGATTGCCTCCATGGGCCCAAGCTCTAGGCTAATTCACAAAGCACCAAGCTCCAGGCTTCATTCCTTAGGTTGATCAGCCAGGTACTTGGTAAGAGGTTGATTATATTGGACTTTTTCCATCATGGAAAGGGCAGTGGTTTGTCCTCACTGGAAAAGATACTTACTCCAGGTATGAGTTTGCCTATCCTGTACACAATGCTTCTGTCAAGACTACCATCCAAGGACTCACGGAATGCTTTATCCTCTGTCATGGTATTCCACATAACATTGTCTCTGACCAAGGCACTCACTTTATGGCTAAAGAAATGCAGCAGTAAGCTCATGCTCATGGAATTCACAGGTCTCACCATGTTTTCCAACATTCTAAAGCAGCTAGATTGACAGAACAGTGGAGTGGCCTTTCGAAGTCATAATTACAATGCCAAGTAATTAACAATACTTGGCAGGGTTGGGGAAAAGTTCTCCACAGGCAGTTTATGCTCTGAATCAGCCTCCAATATATGGTACTGTTTCTCTCATAGCCAGGATTCAGAGGTCCAG